ATAAAAAAACAAACTGAGTGACACGGCACAGATTATAAAATGAATGATGAGCTACGCAGCTACGCAAACAACACCTACAGATTATCACTGCACATTGAAAACTATTCACATGACGTTTATCCAAAAATCGAATCTGAGAAGTAATAAATTATACCCATCCCTTTCTTTTCATACACTTTTGAAGAAATATAAAAGAGAAAGCGCTATGTTGAGATAACCCGCCCAGCCTTGCCTACTTCTTTTTCTAAAGGTACGTAAATTGATTCAGATGGATTGAATCCGTCACCTTTTAAGCTGACACTTATAATAAGTCAGGTATTCAAAGAGCCCAAATAAAAAACACACTTAAAAACTCAAAAATATCGCCTTAACGTCAGATATTAGTGAAGTCGTAATCCTTTTATTTATAACGCTCATATTTTTACTGAAAAATAACTGTCAACCGCTGTTTATTACGAATGGTAATGTTCTACGGAGTAATATTGTTTAATGATTGTTTATTCACTCATACATACATATTAAAATGTAATATTTCATTGAATGACATTATGGTATCTACTATTAGCCATAAGGTCGCAATTCCGCTATCGTGTTTATCATCAAACATAATAAAGCTGTCATATCTGTCAAAATACTTGACATAACATTGTCTTTACACTTATGACATATGGATCGTTTAATAGCAGTATTATATTTTCATACATACCAACATTTCTAAGAATCAAAGTAACTATTACATTAGTATTTTCAAATCACTAGCAGAATAGTAATTCCGAATAGAAATAACAGTATAGCCTTGCGAAGGTAATAAGTACGTATAATATAACAGTTATAAATAAATAAAGAGAAAAAACTAAAGCTCGTAATTACTTTTATGACAAGTGAATAGGTTTATAAATCATTGCTTCATCGACTCCCACATAATAGTAAGCGTAACAGTATCTAGAAGCTGCGGCGACACCACTAATGTTCCATTGTGATTCGAAAGATATTTATGAACGATAACATCAGTTAATACCGAGCCCATTCGATTTATAATCGAATCCATTAACTAGTAATTGATTAAAACACTCATAAAACTTGATATCTATCGAGTTGGAATTTTCAATTGAGTATTCAAATATTTTATAAATCGTAGACTGATTCGGGGCTCGCCTTGGCCTCACACAAATCTTTGCTGTTTTTTTTGTTCGAATCGATTAGATCATTCGAGCTGAACTCGAATGGCTCTTAATCAAGTCTCTGCAGAATATACGTAGCGAATTACTCGACTTAGGGCACGTAGTTGTGTAGAGGTTATCTTAAATTTAATTCGTTCTACCAGCAAACAAGAAAAACGTTTCGAACTACAATTTCCCTGGAGAAACAATTTTCAAACTCAGACAGTATTAAGACCGCTACACACGTAGGTACTACCTAACTACAAGCCCGACAAGTTGTACGAACGATCATTTTGATCCAGCTTTATAATCTTGAACAAACTAAACCCTAAGTCTGGATTTGACATATGACTGAAATATACACCTCAGAAGTGTTTGTAATTCACGAACAGGCATGACTACAATGAACAATAAACTTCCTTTTTCATACCTTAGTCCTTTTGTCTTAGTCAGTTCTCTGCAAATATTAACATTCCGTAAGTATCTTTGCAGTTTGAATTGCACATTCAATTTTAAATTGTAATTGAACAGATTTCTTTAACGTTAATTAAGTAAAATGAGTACAAGATAAATAATACTTCGAATGTGATTCCATGGAAACTGAATTCACGAATACCTCGTGTAATTTGAGAGACATTCCCAGCCGCCATTGCATTCACAATGAATACCCGATTGTGTTACGTAGTTCAGTTCCACTCTACCATTGCTGGAACGGAATATTTCCGTTTGCAAAACGAATTTTGATGAATTCGCTTGCGGTAACCGACAATCAAACTATTAGTAATACACGTCATGCTTACTGTACTGTAATGCTAATATCTTTTTATTATTTTTTATGCGTAATCGGTTATTTTTACTGCCTTGCGACAGCATGTGGGTAAGCAACTGGTACGATGTGTAAGTTCGAATATGAATGTAAATGCTGTATGAAAAGAATGCTTACTCATGTTCTCATTTCAAAATAAACAGCAAAAAAGTTATTCATTAGAAATACCTACTTGTTTTAATGGTTCAAATTATGGACTTTACGTTCAAATTACCTATCAATTTGATGATTTTGTAAGAAAATATTCAAGTCTTTAAGCTCTTGAGTGATTAGATTATTTTCCTGTTATGAGTACATAAGTACCTATTTGTCATTATCTATTATAGGTATTTACAGTTTGAATTTATATTTAATCAATAGCTATTAAAGGATAATAAAGATAATATAGAAGGAATCTATAATTAATTTATTCGTAAATTTATAATTTTATTTACAGATGGACAGCTAATAAATATAAGGTGCGTAGTAAAACAAATACTACATCAAACACGAGATATTTTCTAAGTATTTCTTTATAAAAAGTGTAATGTATACTACGTAACTAATGACGTGTAGGGTAAACTGAACATACCTACATAATTTAATTCAAGAACAGACATTGTTATGTAGAATACATACAAATTGATGAAGGCAGAATTATTGTAAAAACTTCGTCAAATGCGTGTCTAAGGAATATTTTATAGCATTCTCTAGATTTTATTACAAAGCCGAGTATTTTTCAAAGTATTTACCAATAACAGTATTAGAATAACAGTTACTTTTTAGTTTGTGTGTGAGCAGCCCTATTTTGATCAACTCTACGACTATTGTTCGTTTTTCTCATCGTATTTATTTATGGTTTCACATCATACATTTTTCGTGCATTGTATTTTCAATACATTCAATACGAATTACTATGTTAGTCTATTTGATACTGGAGTACTTACCTATTGAAGTCTAGATACTAATGTTTTCTAAAGTCACCAATAGGATCATATTTTGTAAATGATAAATTGTACATATTTTTAACATTATGCGAATATTGGCCAAACATAACAAAGGATACCATATACGAACTCCTACTCAAAATAAATAAACTCGCATGTAATAACCTAGTTACGTAAAACAAAAATATTTAACTACATTCTTAAACTGCGCCCGTAAAAACTGAGTCATCGAAATTCTATTTCCATTAACAACTTAATATTGAGACGATAACAATCAACAAAATTAAGTAATTATGTTATCTTTATACAAGTTTCAGACACAATCAAAGATTCCGACAACGAAAAGAAACGAAACAATTTGTAACACAGAACCATCACAGAACAAATTAGCGTAGAAACCATAGATTAAAAAAAAGTAAAATTGAAAAACAATTTTAGGCGTCTATTTTGTCTGTGGTACTTTTCCATTTCAATAAGACGTACTGGCAACTGGCCCTTTCACGTCGGCATACACTAAACCATAATGGGCTCCGACCCTCCTTGATGTCTCAAAAATAAACAAAAGGGTCCGCTGTTGACGTCCTGGCGACGAAGTTTTTATAAGTAAGCTTTTTATGTACAAGTTTTATTAGCTTCTGGGTTTAAAACACCTACGGGAGACGATGTCAAATATTTGTATTGTCATGTATCCATTTATGAATGTGACGTCTTAACTTTAATGTTGAGCTGATGATGAATGGGAATTAAAAAGGCAAAAACAAAGTGTATGTTTCATACTCAAAAGGCACTGTTTCACAAATGGAACTATTTAAAAAAAAAGTTGCACTTTGACACTGACAGCGCCTTTGTTTCGAAGTGGTTTTACGATTCCGTTGTTCAAGGATAGGTAGGTATCTTCAGTAGGTACTTACCTACTCACTTACTGTTTTACTACTGACGTGTCTATGACTGTATCACTATACCTACCTCAAAAATGCATTAAAATGTCGTCAGTTATTCATTTTTAGCTAACTAACAAGATAATAAAAAAAAAAGATCCAGGTAGTATTTTCTTTGCGTACATGCACATTGGCAGGTATACATTACACATAGGCACCTAGGTACTTATTTAATGCGCATGTGATCCAGTACTAATTATCGCGATAAGTTGTTCTAGTTATTTGTGTCAATTCAGTATATCGGTTTAAAGCTGGTATATCCAATTAGCTTCGAGGAGTTTAATTAGGATTTCTCGACCTTGTTGTAACCTATAAGAAGCGACCATTGCCAGTAAAAGAACAAAAAATGTCTTATTTTTACTTCGAAAAACCTTAATTTTGTTTTGTAAACTTACATACTCGATTAGATTAGTGTAATCTAAATGGTAAATGGATAATTACCGATCCTACATTCCTATCTACTTAAGTGACGATAATTAGGTTAAGTGTAGCTTGGTACTATGTACGCACCTTTATACAAAGTAATTTATAATTTGTCAGAAGTTTACAAGTTAAAAACTCATTTAGGGCGTGTAATAAGGTGTGCCTCGACTGTGAACCGTCTTCAAAGCTTTACTGCCAAGTGCGAAAATGGGTTACACCTAGGACTCAACGACAGCACAGATTATAAACTTGGTAACTGAATATCGCTGTTTACTTTAAACGTTTAGACGATAACAAGCAGGATGTCGCGATAGATATCTTCTAACCTTATGTGTTGGTAGTTAATGCCGATAAACGGTAAAGGAAGACATTATTACCGAGCTACAAGTACCCAAGTACCTAACTAAATGATCAACGTCGACAAGTCAAGACCTTCCTGCTTGTTACAGTACATTAATTACTTGTATCTAAGTAGCTATAAATAGATACTTCAAACTTAATAAGAACAAAGCTATCATTTACCAAGCGGTTAAAAGATTATTGAATAATTTGTTACAATCTACCTACGTTATCTCCACAACTATGCAACAGATACGCTGTGCAAATAAAACTAGTAATTATTACAATATAAATACATTAACTTTTCAACAAATAAACTAAGTAAAGACTTGCGAGTTATAGCAGTCATTAACTGAACAAATAAAGATGTCATAGTGTAATATCTCACCGTTCCCGAGTTGGTCTATCGATGACTCTTGATGGCAATCCAAAAAAGACACAATCCATTCAGCACTTTGATGCACTATAGTTACACTAACACTACGCTAGGTACCGGCACGATCTCAATGCACTATCACTAGACACGCTGGCATCCCGGTAGCAATCCTTGCTAGCTGGCGGCCTCCGAGCTCGACACACCTACGGAGAGACAAAGGAAGCTATCAGCACACTGCACACCAAAACATCAATTTTGTAGGCACCCGATACACCGAATGGAGTATGTATAAGCGACGCTATCGTGCGACGACAAACAGACGGGCGTCGTAACCGCACGCCACACGAATACTGACTTGGGCAGGCAGCGGCGACCGCGCGCTCGACTGCGGAATTCAAGTCGTAATGTACAACGCGCGGCTACAATCATTTCACACTCCACTAAGTGGAAGAGTAAAGTGTAAAATCACACGCAAATACTAACACGTATATTTACACCCTTAACGATGACAACATTCTCCAAGTTTAATCTCTTTAAAAGACTGTGTTTTCACCGCCACATTCCGTGCTATCGACCAAGAGGCATTGAAATTGAAGTGCGAGAAACGCGCTCGTAAAGTTTCCTTATAAAGAATGTGATGAACCGGGCGTCACTCGCACCGCACCGTATTCACAAAACTAAAGTTAGAAAGAGAAATATGAAACCGTGCAATGCAACGCGGCACGGGAGGCGGGGGGCGAAGGGGCGACGTTGGAATACCGCTTCCAAAATATTACAAAAACATTTATGCATGAAGGGATAACAAAATACCGGCGCTATTATGCCGCTCTGATTTATACATACCTACTGTATTATAATGATGGATCACGTCGACCGCTGACGGCCTTAATGGACAAATTATTGAACACCATGTAATGAGACCGCGTGCTCGTTCACGGGCGCGCGGTAGGTGGTGATAAAACATTTTCCCCGTGTGTGCGTTCAAGAAAACATGTGAGATAATAAAAAGTTATGTTTAAACGTTGGAATCGTAAAGTTTATTTGTGTAATACATTCTTTAAACAAACGGATAATTACAAAGCGTTTTATGGCGAGTTACAGCGTTCGTTGGAACGAATAATTTATTTCAATGATTGCCTCTAAATAATCAAAATTTAGATGGCCATGCTGTCGTTACGGTTTTCCTCGAAATTCATTTGTGGCTTTAACGAATTAAATGCGTCAATGCCTAAGGCCACTTGTAAACACAAGGAGTACAGCTACGTAATAAAACGGAATATTGAAATTACTATGGTTACAGGTTCCTATAAAATTTGGATTCATTTTTATATTTCTACAAAATTCTGAAGTTTGAATACGGTGACCCCCTGTTTTATATGACAAAAGACTACACCAAGTTCAGACATATAAAAGAAAAATACAACGAAGCATATTTTACGAGAAAAACAATCTTTAAAGTACAATTCAGCGTAATAAGTCGAAAAAGTCTCTGTAAGACAGAGGGCTCTTTAAAATAAATTATCCTGCCGTAGACGAGTGCTTTTGTGTCGCAATAGAAGTTACTGACAACAAAGAGACCTCTGAAGCGGAAGAAATTTAATCAGAGCATCTGGAACTTAAATTATGAATGGGCTTCGTCTATCTTCAAACTAAACATACGGTACTAACAGATTAGATAACTATCTACAAAACCCCGTGAGAGTTCTGAAACAGATTTATTTGGATATGTGTACCTCAAATATCAACATTCACAAGCCTTTGATAAAATACAGATTTTAACTGGGTATTCGAGAGCAAGAAATATTTTCCAATACAACCGAAGTAGTGATGCGGTTCGGATTGTAGAGGCGCAGATATTTCTCATATTCTTTTGTTAGGATCTCTCCAGTCGGCTCTTTGTTGTTTGAGTTATAGGAAGACTTACTGAATAAGAAAAACTGAAGCATTATTCAAAAGTCGCTCTCACAAACTGGAATACTTTGAGATTCTTAACTATGAAACTTTGAACTGGTATGAAATACGATAGATGGAGATTGTGAAGATAAATTTATTTGTTAAGTTATTAATCAAATTGGAATTTTATAATTATGATGATAACAGTAATGTTGATAAGCATGGTTTACACTTTAACAGAAGAGACACTACGTTGGTCAAATTATAGTGAGGCGAATTGGACAATAGTGACAAAACACCCGTGGCACAATTCACTCCGAAATATATTAATATGATGCATAAAATTTCATTAACATAGTCTATAGAACTGCTAAGTGTATTTTATCTAACGAATATTTCTGAAACGAAGCAAGTACCCAACCAAGCGAGCAATTCAATAGCCGAAACGTCTATTGACATTGTAATCTTAACCCGGCGAGACAGGGAGCGTTGGGAACGACACGCTAGCAGCTGGCTTTCCGAGAACCAACCTTATAGCCGGCGGATGAAGCCGAGCTTTCACAGCTCCGGTCGACAACAATACACACAATAGAACGTAAGAGATACCGGAAACTATAATCGATATGGGCTTATACTTTTAAACGCGGGTTTGTCACATCCTTCAACTTCACTTGTGAACCTGTCCCCACAGTACTAACGCAATCGTTATTATCAATTTCTATTCCAATACCTCTGTTTTGATTGGTTACCGGCTAATCTGGGATTGTGCGATTCGAATTTATTTCGAGATTTGTAATACTTTAGCTATTATTGTTACCTCGGGTATAACGTATAACCGGATTACCAACTTTTATGCCTTTTTTGCTTCGCTTGTGTGATTGTCAAAATCTATTATTTTACATTTTATTCATACAAGTCGTACATTGTTAATCAGTGGAACGACAGCAATTTGTAGCCGATAACCACAACTGCAACGCGACACCCGTACACTCGGCCAGCCCACTCACTCCAAAGTGATTGATGGTGTGGTGTCAATTTCATGTTATCGCTGGCACCCCGAACCCGCGGCCGCTTCGATGAGATTGTTGCATAAATTTACACGGGAGATAACACTACAAGCTTTGGTTAATAACTTGTACAAACATTGCACCGCCCGCGCTGAGCTGCGAGCATCACTCGCTATTTCTTCTCCGTTCTTTTGTTCTCTGCACAGTTGAAACTTCATTGAAATTTTATGTCTGTCTATTACAATATTAAAAAATAGTACTCCATCAATCTGGTATGTTTATAAGTTTATATATTATTCGCATGCTAATATTTATCTGGTATTGATTTTAAAATCTTTTTACACATTTCGTATAAGCCATTAACATCGATGAATCGATATTCATACTCGATAAGATCGGAGCACAGATAAGTAAGCTACAAGAAATAATCGGAGCGCGTGGGATAATCGATTCAATGAACAAAAGCAACAACTCTGATTAGGATCATGTTTGCGTCTTATTGTATATTTATAACATTGCATTACTTATAACATTTTGCCTTTTATGGGTGCCAATTAAAGTGCCTTTACTTTATTAGCGAGGAGATTTCTTCTTTAATATAATTAAACCTTAAAAACAAAAAAAGAAAGCTTCATACGCTCGAGTATGAAATGGTTTGCTCGGTAAGTTGTTGCATAAACTACCGCAGAATACAAATGGCATCGGAATCGGAGTAAAGAAAATTGTAGCACATTTCTAACCGATGTATCAGCAAAGTTTCTACTCAAAAGCACAATCCAAGCTCTTCGTATATACCTTCAATACTTTCCTAATAATCTTGGATACCGTGTACTGAATGTTAGTACAAGACAAGGCAAATAACAAACACATATTTGACCTAGAATTTGAAGACGAAGCCTCGAGTGGTACAATGTTTTCTTCAGTCTCGGCGCAAAACAAATACTAAAACTAAGTAAAAGCTTTGCTGGCTTTAACGTATGGTCGTTCAGCTCTTCGTGTAGAACTTAATCAATATAATCGCTTTCACAGTGTTTATTCTCTTTGTTATGCAACAACGATATCATATTTCATTTTAACGTTGGCTCACTTTTGTGTTATTTTATTGCCAAAATGATTACCTCATTCTTTAAAGGCGTATAAAATGAAAATCAGACAGTCATGTCTTGTTTCGGATATCATTAGTTACATCTACATAAAGTACAAAACTCTACTTAATTGCAATTAAACTTTTACCAACAAAAATGCTGTTTTTGTAACTTTGTGCTAAATAAAAATCAACATCAACAGCGGGCACTTCTGTAAAGTAAATTAACTCACTGAATTAATGTCACCTGCTCTCTGTTAATGTTGTCCTGGTACCGCTAGTGTTCGTCAGTACTCGCGTGCACATTGCATGTAAGGCGCTCGTTATTTCATTTATTACCGCGTAAAAAATAACGATGTTTCATACACACATAAACATTCCCCTCTTTTGATTATTTGAAATGACTACGTACGTATCAACCTACACGACTGTTACTCACGTCCATAATCATTTACGCCCGCCTCGAATAGATCCGGCAGAACTATTTTATGAAAATAACGCTAACGATCTCATAACGTTGATAATTTGTGTCTTTATTTACGATTCTAGATAAAATGTATGAATATTTTATAAAATTATGATTTAGGTTGAATAATTTTGTACAACTCATGGTATTTTATAAATAGTTACTTAAGTGCCTAATGAATGCCACCAGTATTTACGCGATCTCGTAGATGATTCTTAAGATAATCACAGCATAGCTCACTGCCAACAATTTTAATTGTTTAGGTATTTATCTCCATCGTGACATCAACTTATGACAGTCGTAATCATGTCAACAACGTCCGCTGATGTTAATTTGTTTCGAAAAACTAAACAATTTACAACAAATATGACAGCGGAGACGTAAAAGCTCCCACGCTATTTCGCCCGGAGCCGTCATAAAACGTATTACCTATATCTGAATTCTGTATTCATGTTAGATTACAATATTTCCGTCGCGGCGCTATATCGTATAAGTCAACTCATAGCATCAATGCGGGACTCGATAAAAATCCCTCACCGGTCCCAGTTCCCCCTACTCACTCTTTCGAGTTGTTCGCGGTCGTTCGCTCTCATATTCGCGAACACTTTTGATCTTTCTTTTGATATAATATAAATATTTTTTGCCTCTGAGGCTGAATCCATTTTGAGTGAAATGAAATACGAGAGCGAGTTAGAAGCCCTTTATCCGAGACGGTCGGTGGTCCCCGCTCGGCAACCGAACTTGAATAATCAC